TGCTGCTGTTATTCTCAGCTCGAGCTCCAACAGGGCTGGCATTTAGTCTCTAGCAGTAGAGGGTTAAGAGGAGAAAGTCTTGCTGTGACTTGGAAAACTTTGATCTGAGAAGGTGAGTCTACAAATTGCCCTTATTATCTCCAATTCCAGTGAAGAGTTGCTGAAGTTGTTTAAAGTAAGTTTCAGTTGGGTGCTAGAAACTTCAGAGTATTCTATTTAAATGTACAGAACAAACCTGCTACTGGCTCACTTTCACTGTACAAACTGGCAGCATGTGGAAAAGTGGCCTAAGGTGCAAGTGCTGGTACGAGTCTGACTCAAACCTTTAAGGGCCAGACAGTGTGTATTTGTGACTTGGTGCAGTGCTCTTGGAGTGCTGAGAATGCATAGAGACAGCACTGCTGAACCTGCCATCTGAAATTTAATGGTACAGTTTTGAATATGAAGTCCCAAAACATGGTGTTGCTTAGGACTGTATGAGAGTAAACAGCAGCAGTAAAGTTACTGAAGACACACTGAGATGTTAAAGGAATTCCAGGAAGCATTTTTTCCTTTTATAAGCTTAGGCAGTTTACCCTAAACTAGAAGTAGTAGTTGAAACACATATGGCAGGTTCAAGCCTGCAAAGTCAGAGGCACCTTATACGGCAGGTCCTCTGAACAAGGCAATAGCTTAAGTCATGTTTTCCTGTTGAAATGTAGCCCAGAAGTTAAAAAGCTTTACCTAATATACCATTAGGTAAAAATAATCCCTATAAACTACTTTCCAGACACACTGATTAGAATAAAGGGATTTTTTTTTTAACTTGTTACTGAGCTTCAGGCTCCTTACAAAATAATTAACATTCCATAGTTACCTACCTAAAAATTAAATAACTCTGGAGCTCTCATTAAAAGACCTATAAACCCACACAGAGACTGAGATTTGCTAAGCACCAAGTTACAGGTGAACAAGACACACTTAACTGTTCACAATGAAATTTCTTTATACAAGATGTTACAACTCTTTGGGATTACTGGGGATGTTTTTAATGTTCTTCTGGTAGGTGGAGGGTTTTGTTTCTTGAGGAGGGTTGGGTTTGATTTTTTTTTTCTTTTTTTTTTTTCACTTTTCAAATAGTTGATTTATTGGCAGCTGTTGCAGTAACTTTACAGTACCATGATCTTCTGGACTGCTCTCATCACTGCTTTCACTGCTTTCAGTGGCATCCTCTGGAGTGCTCACGCTGTCCTCCTCAGAGTCTTCCTTGCTTTGTGCTAGACTGGAAACATTTTTCAGGATTATAAAAGCAAAATAACTTATAATAAGAAAAACTAGTATTTAAATTAAATTTCATTACCCTGGGGAACTGACTGGCCTGTTGGGATTAGAATACTCTTTTCCTGAGTCAACATCAAATGGATCTGGAAAAAGGAAGAAAAACTGCACATGATGAAAAAGGCATATTTTAATCATCTGCCCTCATTTTCACAGAAAATTACTGGCAGGGAGGGGAAGACCTAGGAAGTCTGGTTCAGTCTTTCTGTTAAGTTTACCATAGTTGTTTGATCAGAAACCAGGGGAGGTGGGGAAGAGAGGGGAGGTGGCTTAGACAGCTGGGGAGAACTGTTACCACAGAAAAGTCAAACAAGGCATGATGGCTGAAGTCCATCCAGAAAGTGCATAGATTCAAGTGTGCTTTATTTGGCATAGTCGTGTTGCCCCTTAAGAACTGGCTTGAGTTTAATGTAACTAGTTAGGTTTCCACCAAGAAACAGGATGGTTTCATTCCATCACGTTCCAGTGCGTAATGGCAAAGAGATCAAAAGTTCAGAGCAATTTAAGGCTGTTGACTGTCTCCTTACAGTATGAGCCCCTGGCCTGTTTTATGGGGCTTAACCACTGTGACAGGAAAATGTTAATTAGGAGCATCTCTTTTCATATGTTCTTGATTATTTGATTTGTCTTTCTTTGTGCTGTCTTGAATAAGACCAAGCAGTCACTTGTGAATATAGCGTCCAATAACTTTCTGGAAGAATTTGGGAATAAACTACTTGTATTTATTACAGATGATTTTAATTATCTTGATAAGTCTGATTTGAAACATCTTGATTGGGGACTATATAAATATGTTCACTGAAGGTCTTTCTTAGGTTTATGTGTAATTGATTTGCTGTCAGACTGTATGGTTGTATTTTTATTATAGTTCCTTCTCAATTACTAGTCTTTTTACTCATATTCAGCTTTTAACATCTGTGGATAAAATGAGAATGCATCATATTTTCTTTTTGCTCCTTAGTTTTCCAGTATCCTTACTTGTATCAGGGTAGCTGCTTCACAGTTCGGCTGGAAAAGCACTGCTCTATGCATTCACTCGCTTTAGTCATTTTCATCTATTCTAGTTGAAAAAAAATGGGTAAAGTTTCTTATAAGAATACACAGTATAAGGATAGAAGAACACATCTCAACAAAGCACTTATCTTCCACCTTGCCAATATTTTCACGAGATCAAAGGAAAAGACTGTAAGGAAACTAGTTAGGAAAAAGGGGTGTGTGGTGTCCCTGTGTTTTTTTCCTTACCTACGTCTTCATCTTTTGTTTCTTGGACAGTAGCTAAAAAGTCCTTCTCAATGCTTAGCACGTCGTCCTGGCAATGACAGGCTGCGTATTTTTCCAAGAGATTTTTGTTCAAGTCAATAAATGCCTTACCCCATTTAAATTTCCTCAGAAGAATGGTGGCTAGGTCTGGGAATCCTAAAATAGAAAATATGTGATCAGTTTTCCAGTGTGAGATTTCACTCAGCCTACAGGTTTCTAAGTTCAGTACATACCTATGTATCACTAAAATAGTGAGATGTTTGCCAGCATTTTTTTCAGCATTAGGGGATTAAGACTTTGAAAATATTTGTAATCTTTTTAAAATTTCAGTTTAACTTGAAATATCTAACTGAATCCAAGAAGAGTTCATAGCCTTTTAGTGAGTGTTACATAAAAATACTTTGTACAGGTAATGAATGATTCAAGCTCTAGGTCCCACAGTCCTTCAGTACAAGAGCATTTGTACATACAGTACTTTCAGAAAATAATATTTGTCTGCAGTATGGTAGAGTACTTCTCTTCAGTTGTCAAGGTTCTGCGGTGAGTTTGCAAAACATCACAAGAAGGGGCAAATTCTTTTGTTCTTACCCAGAACCCGCCCTGTTAACAGACAGCTGCTACCTCTCCCTAAGGCAAAGGTGCCTAAGGATTCATATTCTGTCTTCTGTCTTTTTTTTAACAGTTTTTCTAACATTACGCACCATCCAGACAAAAACAGGATTTAGTTTATGTGTCCTGTTTAGTAGCTGACACGAACACTCCACAGGTACCCCAATGCAAGTACTTGGAAGAAAGCTAGACAATCTGATCCCAAACTCAGCAAACTGATAACCAGTGGGACAGCACTACAGTTTATTTTATTGCAGATCATCTCTTCCGATTTATTAAGGATGTAAGAATTGCTGGCAACAAACCGAGCCTACCAACAATGCAAAACGCTGCAGCAAAAGCTTCCACGCAGGACAGCTTGCACGGCCGACCATAGTTTACAGGATTTGCAGCCACCAAGTAAGGCAGCAACCGAGGATGATTCCCCCTCATTCTCTTAAAGGGAGTTTCTTCTAATTTGGCCCATGAGCAATCTATGACTGCAATTCCACTCTGAGCAATGACATGCCTGAAAAAAAGAAACATTACTGTATTTGAAAAATTGTCACCATTATATTGATCATAGAATCATAGAATCAGCTGGGTTGGAAAGGACCTCTGAGATCATCAAGTCCAACTCGTGATCCACTACCGCTGTGGTTACTAGACCATGGCACTAAGTGCCACATCCAGTCTCTTTTTAAAAATCTCCAGGGATGGAGAATCCACCACTTCCCTGGGCAGCCCATTCCAATGCCCGATTACCCTCTCTGTAAAGAATTTCTTCCTAATATCCAACCTAAACCTCCTCTGGCAGAGCTAAGGTCATGCCCTCTTGTCTTTGCTAGCTGCCTGGGAGAAAAGACCAACCCCCGCCTGGCTACAACCTCCTGTCAGGGAGTTGTAGAGAGTGATGAGGTCTCCCCTGAGCCTCCTCCTCTCCAGACTAAACAACCCCAGATGAAGTGAGAATTCCAACTGCCACTTTATATCAGCAACAAATTTGCATACAACCCCTGCTTGTGTCAATCATAACCTAAAATAGCGAATAGAGAAAGAGAGAATGAGAAAGAGTTATAACATGGGTTTCCTTCAAACATGCATATGGTAAAGAATGTTTATCCATGTTTCAAGCTGAAATGTGAAAGATTCTAGGTTTAAAAATGTGATAGACAAATGTGGTTAATAGTAATGTTCACAGTCATAAAGTACACCAAAATTCAGATTGAGGTTCTCCGCTAGCTTCTGAAGAGAAATCTTTTCTCTGAGGAAATACATCTTTATAAAAATTCTGCAGGCACATTTGAAGAAAATTCTCATTTCCCTCAAAAAGTTTTCTAGTTAACGCATTGTGCTGCCTAGCTGAAGTACTTAAATATGACATCATAAAAGTACAGCAGCTATAGGCCCATGCTCTGAACAAATTAACCTACGAGATGTACCTTGATTTCTCATTGGGGTCTACAGAAGCTTTTCTCAGCTGATACCAGCTATTGTAAAAGTGTTCACCTGATTTGATGAAATGGCTCTATTTCTCGTGTTCATGCATCAGGGCAATTGTCACGGGAAGGTCAAATCTATTCTGTATCAGAGTTTTGGCCATGAATCAGTGGTTAAAACGTTCTCCCTAATACAGCATCAGGACGGTATTTGAACCAAGAGCTTTCCCTCACAGCCCGCGCCAGCAGGCACCAGGGCCTAACCTGTCAGCGGGAGAGACGTATTCCGTGGCCAGCGGACTGAGAACGACGCCCGGGAACCTCTGGCGAAGGCGCAGGGTTCGGAGTAACCCTTTCCGGGCCAGTTTTCTCCCGGTGCATTTCTTGGGATCGCAGTGTCCGAGCTCCCACATGGCAAGGGGGCAGGGGAACTTGGCCTCCAGGCCGCCTCCGGCCGCGGCCCCCTCGCCCTCCAGGCAAGCTGAAAACAGCGGGCACACATCAGCGTCCAGCGGCCGCACGGCCCAGTCCTGCCGGACCCGCCGGCCCGGACCCGCCGGCCCAGACCCGCGTCCCGCGGCCCCTCACGCACCTCTCAGCGCAGCCTCCGCGTCCGCCGCGAAGGTGTCGAGGCTGCGAGCCCCGCGCCGGCCCCCGCGCCGGCTCCGCACCATGGCCGCGCTGGGCGGAGCGGCCGCCCCGCGGCCCGCGCGCTTCCGCTTCCCGCGGAAAGGGCGATGGCGGCCCGGCTGCTGCTGGCGGCGCTGGGCGCGGCGCTGGGTGAGGCGGGGGCCGCGGCGGGAGCGGGCGCCGCGGGTCGGTCCGTGCGCCGCGGCCAACGGCTCTCTGCTCGCAGGTCTCTTCGCCTCGGCGGGGAAGATGAAGATCGTGGAGGAGCCCAACACGTTCGGGTACGTGCCCGCCCGCTCGCTGTGCCCCGCGATCCACTCGCACTCGGCGGGCTTGAGCCCGTCTGCCGCTCCGCCCGCTCCAGCCCGTCCCTTCCTCCGGGGATGGGGCGCCGGGCCGGGGCAGGGGCCGTCGGTGTTGGGACACACACAGGTAGAGGAGGATATATCCACGGCCAGATGCGTAACAGCCTTAAACGTTTAACTTTCCTTCTTTTGAAAGGTTGAATAACCCATTCTTGCCTCAAACAAATAGGCTCCAGCCAAAGATGTCCCCGTCTGCAGTATCAGGTATATGCAAGCGTTACCTTTTTTTTTGTACGGTTTTCATAATTTAGCAACAGTTGTTTGCAATGCAAATTGTCTACTTTGACTTTATGCAGCCACAACCTAATTTTGCATGTCATTCTGTAAGCATCACGGAAAATAAGCATGGCAAATATATTTTATTGTGCTTCTGAAAGGTTGAAACCTAGGTTAACCTCATTGGTGTTCCATGTCTGTAGTGGGTTGACCCTGGTCTGGATACCAGGTACCCACTAAAGCCGCTCTCGCTCTCCTTCTGCAAGTGGACAGAGGAGAGAGAAAAAAAACCCAAACAGCTAAGGATTCATGATTTGAGATAACAGCTGGGAGAGGTCAGTTACTAATTACCTTCACGGGCAAAACAGGCTCAAAGTGGGGATAGTACTTACATTTATTACTAACAGGATAAGAGCCAAAGACTGAGAAAATAAAACAGTCTTAAAAACACCTTCCCCCCACCCCTCCTTCCTTCCACGTTCTCCCTCCTCCCCCCAGCTGTGCAGGGGGACGGGAATGGGGATTGCAGTCAGTTGAGTTGTTATTTCTGCAGCTGCTCAGAGAGAGGAGTCCTTCCCCTGCTCCCGTGGATCCCTCCCACGGGAGACAGTCCTTGATGGACCTCTCCAGCGTGAGTCCAACCCTCGGGCAGCAGTTCTTCCCATACTGCCCGTGGGTCACTCCTCCATGGGGTGCAGTCCTTCGTGAATGAGCTGTACCCACGTGGGTCCCCCACAGGGGCCACCAGTCCTACCAGGGAAAAACCTGCTCCAGTGTGGGCTTCCCTCTCCAGGGGCCGCAGGTCTCCGGCAGGACTCTGCTCCATCCTGAGCCTCCCATGGGGTCACAGCCTCTTTCATGCATCCACCTGCTCCAGCATGGACTCCTCCGTGGGCTGCAGGTGGGTCTCTGCACCCTGATGGTCCTCCATGGGCTGCAGGGGGACAGCCTGCTTCACCATGGTCTGCACCACGGGCTGCAGGAGCCACAGCTCTGGCACCTGGAGCACCTCCTCCCCCTCCTTCTGCACTGACCTTGGTGTCTACGTTGTTATTCCCATGTTCTCACTCTGCTCTTCCCTGGCTGGAATTTTCTTCCGCGCAACAATCTTCTGTTCTTAAATATGTTATCACAGAGGCGTTGCTGTTACTCCTAATTGGCTCAGCCCTGGCCAGCGGCAGGAAGTCGGTCCTGGAGCCGGCTGGCATTGGCTCCACGGGACAGGGGAAGCTTCTAACAGTTTCTTATAGAAGCCACCCTTGTAGCCCCCCCAGCTACCAAAACCCAGCCACAGAAACCCACTACAATGTCCCGGTGCTGTTTGGACTGCTTTTGTCACAATACTATCCATATGTTTTACTCTCTTTCTTTGAGCCAGTCACAAATCTTTCTGACCCATGGTAAAAACTATTTTCTTCTTGAAACAATCTCTGACATCCTCGAGATTGTCATATAAAAGTCATTTCATCATACAATAGCACTTAATACCAAAAAATGGTTATAAAAAAAAGTCCTAAGAGTAGTCTTGGAACCTATCACAGAGGCTTAGTTTCACACACAACATGGGTGCTGTGATATAAATACACCACTTAAGCAAAATAAACAGGAATATAAAGAAATCTAGCCCATATATGGGGGAGAGCAGATAAATACTGAAGGCAAAGACTAAGCAAAAGTGAATAACTCTAATCTCTCTGCTAATCTTATGCACAGACCTAAACCTTGTTCAAATTCAGTAAAGGCATTTTGGTATGGTGACACTGAATGTGATTATGCTTAGTGTTTCTTTGTCATGTTTTATGCACCCAAATCAAGTTTATAAATTCTGCGTGTGTAGTGTGTGAAAAGTGAAATAGTTAGGAATGGGATTAGTAACAGAATGCTGAATGGAAAGGTGACAAAAGTAGCAGGAAAAAAAAATTAAGGACAGCATGCTAGAAATCCTTCTTTCTTTGTTGTGGGAACTTATAAAGGTAGCCAAAAATTGGGAGTGTGTACGGAACAGGAATCCAGGGCATGGAACCCTGTCTTGCACAATTATTTCTTTAGCATAGAAACCTTACCTGTTCTTTTACAAGACAGCTGGTGGAATAGTTCCTGTAATTTCTCTTCTAGAGCATCTGCCCAGGAAATGGAGGCATGAGTTTAATGCATTCCTCAGGGACATTCACATTTGCAGAGCATCCTAATCACTAAGGCACAGATTTCATGTAGCAAAGGGACAAACCCTTTGGCCAAGCCTATGTGTAGAATGAAATGCAAGATCACACAGTCAGAAAACACACTTGGGAAAGAAAACCTACTCATATCCTAGTGGTTAAGCTATTCTGAATGGCATGATTCTGGTGGTCTGACTGTTGTTTGTAGGATTGCTTGGCTAGATCTTTCGAAAAAGGACCTAGGCAATCCTGACAGTCGGGGATTAGAATCCAGGATGGGGGTTTATTTTATATGCTTTGAAATCTTTATTCTTCTTTCCTCATAAATATTTAATAGTTCCAAGCAAAAATTCTATAAACAAGGGACACTGAAATACTCCTCTAGCACATAGTTCAGAACTTTTGACCCTCTTTTTACTGACCTGTCTTGGATTCCTTTGATAGAAAGGCTGGAACAGTCAATTCTACAAGAGTAGAATTGCAGCTGCTGACCTGTCTGACAGCAAAAGGTTTATCTTGTTGAGTACTATCTGGATCAGACCATGAAGGCAAACTGTGAAAAGGAATATCCAGTTTCAGAATCTCAGGGAAGCTTAAATATGCAGCGCTGTCAACAAATGGGCTTTACTTGAGGATTTTGGATGGCTCTGGGGACAGACAGCTCCCAAGCAAGAGTTTTAGTGATTTCAGTGTTAGATTTTGGAAAGATCTGCACTGATGATTCCTTTTATGGACCTTGCCTCCAAATATTTGTTTTTACAGGGGTTTCTTGTTTTTGTTGTAGACAGAGGCTTATCTATTTCACTGAGTATTGAAGATGAAAAATGTTAAAGATTATGATGGAAACCAGTATAGGGCTAGTGGGAACTTACAGTAATACATATGGAGGATAAGAATTTCCTTATGTATAGCAGAGACCTAAATTTGTCACATATTCCTTGCAGTTTTGTCACCACAGTAACTTTCTTAAATTTAACCAAAACATTATTCTTCCTTTATGTCATTTTGTGGTGTTTTTAGGCCCTGCACATCTCTTTGGGCTTGCTGGCAAGTGTTTCAGTTTTGTGGAATCCACGTGAGTAATGGATTTGGATCTTTGTTTACTTACTAGGAATTTACTAGTTTTCCATTTCAGTCTGAAACATTTCTTATTTCCTTTTTCTTTTCTTTTAAGGTACAAGTATGAGTTTTGTCCTTTCCATAATGTCACTCAGCATGAGCAGACTTTTCGATGGAATGCCTATAGTGGGATTTTAGGGTGAGGCATTTAGATCTTTAAGTTTTACCTATGTTGTTAGCAGGCCATTTTATAGATTGTAAAAAGGAGGCAGTTTTAACATGAAGATTCTTCTATGGGTTAACTTAGGTCATTATAGTTCCCAAGGCAATATGCGTAAAGATATCCTGTCTTGAAAAATTCAGATTTTTTTTTTTTTTGGTTGATAAATACTAACCTCCTATTTTAGTTGGAGACTGATTAATAACCAGTGCCAACTGCAAGTGCGATATGTTCACATGAGAAATTTAATAATGTATAACTATAGCTTATATTTACAGAGATTTCATAGCTGTTAACTATTTTCAGCTTGAGTTAAATACAAAAATTACAAAATGAAAAGAGTGCTTTATGCCTAGTGGTTGTATTAATCATTTAATGAAAAGTTATAAAAGACTCAGTGTGGATCCCAGAAAAAATTCCCATATTTGAAGACCCCAGATCATATAGCTCCCAAATCATGAGACTTAAAATAAATTTAATTCTAAACCAGAGCACTGCTTTTCTAAATATTTTGCATATAGATGTCTTTTCTCTGTGTGCAAAATGGTGAGCCAGTATGTGAGGAAAATGGTATATCAGCATGCTGAGGGTATCGTTTGCTTTAGGACTAGCAGAACTAGAGTAGATTTTTAGGTGCTCTCACCAGCACTAAAAATCCTGCAAACAATCTGAATTGCACAGTGCACTTAGCATCATGGAATTTTTTGTGGGATTGATCTATAAGTGATATTTTACTGGATTTAAACACAGATTTTAAGTGCAAATGGTTTGCAAACTGAAAGCTGATCCAAAACTGTGCTCTCAAAAGTGATACTGACATGCCCTATACAGCAGCTTGGATAACAAACTATGCTGCATGTAAGGTGTTGGCTGTAAGAAGTGGAAATACTCAGACAACAAAAATGATTTATGTACACTTGAATTGAACATGGTATAAGGTGTTCCTGGTTTTATTCCTGAGTGTTCAAGTTTTTCTTTCCGGTAACTTAATAGAGTGTCCTGTTTTTTCAGAATCTGGCATGAATGGGAAATTAACAACAACACATTTGTTGGAATGTGGATGAGGGAAGGAGACTCATGTGAAACTAAGACCAGACAAACAAAGGTATAATAACCTAGGCTATGCTAATTCAGACAGCATGACTACACATACACTTGTGACACTCTACAAACTGAAACATTCCTACCCTGAAAAAGTCCTTATTTAAGCTATGATAGAAAAAGATGAATTCCTGTAGGAGCTACATGAATGGATGGAGGAAGGAGTCTAGATTCAGGATGAAATTTTGAAGAAGTGTACTTACATGTTCTCACTGATTACTTAAAACTCTTTTTTTCCTTGATAGAGTGGAATATTCTAATTACTACTGTAGAAATATACTTGTAATTTGTGTCAGGAAAAATAAAGAAAAAGAGCTGTTGGTTGAATTCAAGCTACCAGCCTATTGTACTAAGAACATCCATAAAAAAGGAGGGAAAAGAATTAGGCAGTTAACAGTAGCATACCCAGAAGTTAAGTACGATGTTAAAAGAAGCACCAAGGGCATTTCAAGAAGGACATTGAGGTGATGGAGAGTGTCCAGAGAGGGCAACGGAGGTGGGGAAGGGTCTGGTGCACAAATCTGACAAGGAGAGGTGTCAACCAGCACCCTCAGGTCCTTTTCCACCAGGCAGCTTTCCAGCTATTCTTGCCCAAGCCTAGAGCAGTGTGGGGTGGTTGTGACCCAAGTGCATGACCCTGCATTTTGCCTTGTTGAATCTCTTGTGATTGGCTGCCAACTTGGCTGCCAAGGTGAAAATATTCTGTACTGTAGTGGAGGTGCCTTTATCTCCCATAGGGGCTGCAGAAAAAAATTAATATTCTTGTATGACCTTTGATATTGTGATTGAAATCTTTCACAGGCATTTTGTTTTGACAGACGGAAAACACTGGTGCTACAAATGTAATGAAAATAGTTTTATACAGTCTACATGCGTCTTGTACTCTTTGTTTAGCACATTGGTCAGAAATAAAATTTAAGCAAACTGTGCTTACGTCAGATGAGGCTCTAAAGGATGTCCTTTTCCCCCTCCTTTTTACTCTCATTCTTGCTGGAAATATGGTGCTCAGGAGTTGAAGGAACAATGGTAGGTGGGGGAATCATTTCCTATTAGAGGAAGCAGTGTTCACATTTGATAAAATAATTTGACAACGTGCTTGCTATGATTCTTTTTCTGTGGAAAAATGAAAAAGGACTGGAAGCTTTGACATGACAGTATGTATAGAAATGCTTCTGCTAGCATTGGAACACAGCAAATTGATCATCAATGCTGGTCCTGTTTCATGTGGACCTTTTTTGCTCATCTTTGTTTTTACTGATGTTTAGGTTCATCTTGTTTGTGGAAAGAGCAATAAATTGGCTTATGTGTCTGAGCCAAGTACTTGTGTTTACTCTCTGACATTTGAGACTCCTCTTGTGTGCCATCCCCACTCTCTTTTAGGTAAGATTTAGAAAATCATTTGTGGAGCAGTTGGCATATTACACTAACCTCAGAGTGTGCATTTTTAGGTTCTTCAAGTTTGTACCTTGATATAAATGAGTATTACATGTAACATATAATACAAAGTGTATTTTAAATCCCAGCCATTAGAACACAGATATTTCTCAAATAAATTGTCACTGCTGATATAGACCCAGTGAAGGATTTTTTTTTTTCTTTTTTCTTGGACTGGTTGTAGGAATCAGCCCTGTAGTATCTGCTCATGTTAAAAAAAAGGCAGAGCTCAGAATCACACTGAGCAAATAAATGTGAGGCCTTGCAGCTGGAAATAAGAGAAAAATTTCTGGTCAGAGGCATTTTCCAGAAAGTTTAAATGTGTGAAGTGCAATTTAAGTTTAACCCCAACTCTCGAAAGTAGTGGAGACTATGTACTGTATGGAAACACTGAGTTCTTAGAACAAATATGCTTGCATGCTACTAGAGGGGGAATTAACTAATGCAGGACAGTGCTGTTGGTTTTTACATGGTTTGCCTTCCATTTTTCAGTTTATCCAACTCTGCCTGAAGCACTGCAAAGGAAGTGGGATGAAGCAGAGCAGCTTCTGTATGATGAACTAATAACTGACCAGGTTTATTAACTTTTTCCAACTCTGTTCAGTGAAAAAAACAATTACTGTCAATAGCCAAACCTGGCTTCTGCAGTTTCTCCTTTTGGAGTAGATGCATTTATTCTGCAGTTGGCAAATAATAATTTTATGTTCTGTAACTGCTGTGTGAACTGGTAATTGTAATGTTTTCTACAATGAAGCTTGAGGACTTGGAATGGCCATTGCAAATTACAAGCAGAGATCAGAGTTGAGTGGATTGATCTATTGTCTTTTGAAAACTTTCTTTTTTAGGGTTACAAAAAAATACTGAAAGAGATTTTTGAGGAAGCAGGACTTCTAAAAGCAACAGAAGAAAAAGAAGCTGAGAAACAGAGTAAGAAAATAAGTCTGGAATTCAAAACAGTGGAAAAGTGCAGTAAGGTAGAGAGCAAAATATTTACAATAGTAAATTTGTGGAATTAAACTGCCACCTTTTTACTGTATCACAGTATCAGCATGAGAGCATTATGTAAATGCTCTTTGGATTCAGCTGAAATCTGTCATGGGATTATCTTTTCTGTTTTCAATATGTAACACTGCATAGAGTGTGAGTTGATATCTTTATTCTAGCCCTTAAGTCAAAACCGAACCAGTACGGATGAATGCCCAGTAGGAAGATGGTGGGTATGTAGAACTTAGGGTATGCACCTGGGTTACCAACACCTTGTAGGTACTCTTTCTGGGGAATACCAGTCTGGAAATAGGAAGGAATTAACAGTGCAAATAAATGTGTAACCAACCTTGAGTATGCTGGTGCTTCTCTCTGTGGATAATTACCCACACTTGTGTCAGGACACATTGGCTGTAACACAAGCAAAAGGCAGAATGACCTATGCAGTGTCCATTTCTGAAGGACTTCTGTGTGTGTGAACAGTTCTGCAACAGAATTGGAATAGGGAAAACAGAGGTAGAAGGGGTGCTCACTCTAAAAGAGTGCAAGCTGAACATCAAAAAAAGAGCACAGAAGGGAATTAATTATAATGCAGAGAAGAAGTTGCTGTTGTCATTTTATTTGAAAAATGTAGCAAAGACAAAACACCAAATAGCTATTAATGTATAATCAGACAGACTGTGGTTAACCTGAATATACATATAGAAAGATCACCGTTCTGAACTCATACGAGCTCGCTCGTTAACAATACAGTACTTAATAATTTGTACTTCTTTTTCTGGGTTCATCATAGCTTAATTGACATTAAATTGGCTGTTTTGGTAACCACAGAATTTTAAATAGTTACTCTTTTGCTCTGTCTTTATTCATGTAAACACCAAAAGACAACAAAAACTGGGGCTTCTCTTGAGATTTCAGGTATATGGTTTGAGTGTCAAAACTACTAAGCAATCCCTCTCTCTGCAAGTTAACAGAAACTGCTGAAAGCAAGAACATGAAGTTACTAGGTCAAGAGTTGAGGAGGTGACAAATTTCCAGACTGTAGCATTATGATACAATAAAATAAGGCCAGTCCTGAAGAAAACTTAAGAATGCAATTTTGTTCTATGATAAAATGCTACTTAGAGGACAGATTCAAAATAGTTACAGAAAGCACTCCTAATTTTTACACTCAGGCTTGAGAAAAGCTGGCTCCTGTTTTGGCAACATAGACATGTATCTTCTAAAATTTGCACCTTGTTCTTGGAATAAGCAGTTTATGATCTTTTAAGTGAAAAGCTGTAACAGCTTTGCACAGACCCGTTATGTTTTATAAACTCCCATTTTAGATATGCATTTGGAAAGTGGGAGAACCACTTTAAATGTATTTTCTTTTTTAGGAATACAAGCAACTTTCTGAAGAAATAAAAAAACTTAAAGTTTTATTAGATCAGCATGGTATTGCATACAAAGCAAATTCTGGTGAGTTTTTTTGGTATTGTTCTTTTTTATTGTTGTCTATTCAGAATGTGAATACCCCAATGCTGTTTTCAGTTATAGCAACATTTAAATAATCTGGCATATATGAAGGAAAAATTCAGTAGACAAAGTATCTAATAAGTACTTAGGTTTTGATTCCTGTGCAAGAGGACTTATTTTGTCCCCCAGAAAATCTGTTGATGACTTGAAATTCTAGCTTTATAGAAAAATGCTGACTGCCATTGTAATTGAAGTTTGTCTCTAGTCCTTAATGTGCCAAATTAAAAGGAAATCAGCGTTACAGCACTGATAGCATAAAAGTGTCTTTTAAGTAATTCCACTTTCTGTATGTTAACCACAAGGTCTGACTTCTTCTATAACATTTGAAATGTTCTCTGTATCTGTTTGAATTGTTTTTTTCCTTTACTAAGTCACCTGTTTCTTTTTCCCTCTCTTTGACTTCTGTTAGGTAAGTATCACATCACATGCAGTTTTTAAAAGGAAAGACTGGTTCTGGCTATGAAGTAGTAAGGCTAATCTGGATTAATTCCAGACAAGTCGGTTTTTTTGGCTTTGTTGTTGGGGTTTGTGGATTGGTTTTTGTGGGCTTTTTTGTTTGCTTGTTTCCTCTCCCTCATTTCTTCCAGGCCATCATGCCCTTTATTACATGAACTGTTTGTCAAAGGAGAATTTAATTTCCTGGAAAATAAATAGATATAGATATAGTTACACTTTTTATGTTCAGAATTGAAGAAAACAAAGCACTGTTGAGCTAATTAAAGTAGCTTAAAATTAGTGACATAGTTTTTTTTTTCTTTTTGCTTTGAGAAACTTTCTTACTTGTTTTTTTTTTAAATTGATGACTTTCTTTTCTAGGAAAAAATCATAATAAAATTTTTTAAAAACATTTTATCTTCCCATATAAACTATTAACTATGTAACTTGCACAGTATTTCTGTGTGTTTGGTAGTTCTATTAATTATTGCAGTAGTTTTTTTAATTATTGCAAATTAGAACTGTATAGTCAAAAGCAGAATTCAGTTTACTCTAGATGACTTATTTCAAAACTATTTAGTTAATTCTATGACAAAAATGTTTTGGTGTTTAAAAGCAAAAATAACTGATGTCTTAAACTAAATTTTACAGCTGAAAATACCAGTGTTGAATATGTAAGTCACAAACTGGCAACTGCAGTGACAACAGTTCTTAATGGGTCAAAGGATGAGCACCTGCATGGCGACACAGGAATTTGGAACTACACTGTATGAAGAAACTTGGGTGGTTCATATGGAACGTCAATTAAGTTGAACACGTATCATGCCACTGAAATGATTTATCTTCTTGCAAGTATTTTTGACTTTATGAATTTCTGCCCTAAAGCAAAGGAAATGTGAGGGCTGACCATTATGAGAACAGTTGGCTAGTTTCTGAGAACATTTGTGAAACTTTCTTTGCTACAACTGGTGTTTGGCAGAGGCTTACAGATTCCGTGTGTCCAATCCTAGCCTTTTTTTTATTGATCAAGTGTGGTAACAGGTGGTGTAAATAGAAAACAGCTCAAGACCAGTGCTGTTAGATGTTGTATGAAAGGTAATAAATACAATGTTAAGAACATGTTATTTCATCTGTATGCTAAAATGTTTTCTGCGGACTTTAGCAGAAAAGGAAACGTTTTCTGTCACAGCAGTGCTTAACACACCACCCACCCACATTCAAAGGTCGATGTCATCTTTAGCTATCAGTTTAAATGAAAGCCGTTCGGGATCTGACTGAAACGTGCAATGAAATCAGTGAATTGTTATAAAAGCATAGTTGTGGTAACCTGGCAATTCTCTGTATGTAATACGGAATAAAGTGGACTCCGCGACCACCAGCTGCGGAACCACCACCGCCCCAGACGATGGACGGCGAGAGCGCCGTCCCCGCTCGCTTTGGCTCCTCCTCCTGCGCAGTTCGTGATCCCGTCACGGCTGCGGGAGCCTTCGCGCCTCCCCTTCCGAGCGGCGCGGGGCGGTGCGGGATGATCTGGGCGCTTGGCCGCTGGCGGTGAGGAGCGGGAGCAGGGCCGGGGCTGAGCCGGGCCGGGGCCGCTGGCGGTGAGGAGCGGGGCCGGGGCCGGGGCTGGGGCTGGGGCTGAGCCGGGCCGGGGCCGGGGCCGGGGCTGGGGCTGAGCCGGGCCGGGACCGCTGGCGGTGAGGAGCGGGGCCGGGCCGGGCCGGGCCGCTGCCCGTGCTCCCCGCGCCGCTCATGCGTGTCTTTACAGGGCGCGGCGGCCCCCGCGCCTGCCCGAGCCCTGGAAGGGATTCGCACGACGGCCGGACCCGGAGGGTGCGGCGGGCGCGGATCCGGAGAGCGGGGTGCCCATTCCCTTCTCCAGCAGCAAGGCCAGTCCGCGGGTGTGGAGCGTCAGCCGGTCTATGGGGAGCGACCACGAGAGACCGTGGCTGAAGGTGTTGCCTTTCAGTGTGCTGTGCACGGGGCTGTTGCTCTGGTGTGTGTTCAGGGAAAAAACGGAGATTGATGAGCGATTGGAAGCGGTTTTCTCCGGCGAGATCGTGGACTCTTTAGATATGGCCCAAGAAAGCAATGCTCCCTTGCAGCTGCCGAAGGAGCAATGAGGACGGGAGTGCGGCTACAGTGAAGGAGCTGCCAAGAGTTTGCTGGTATTCACCTGGTTAAAAACTGTACCTACTCATTAATGGAAAAAAACCTTGGTTTTTTTGAGTCTTTCGGCAGCCTTATCTTGCAAACTTGATTTCTTCATGATTTTTTCTGTGCTGGTCTTACCTTAGTAATTTACTTTGGTAGCAAAAGGCGTAGTTTCTTTCTGGATTGCACGGTAGGGATGAACAAGACATATTGCAATTCAACTTGAATTTTAATATAAGTTTTATATAACCCATCACTTTTCCATGGATCATCTTTCTTAGATGCTAGGTGTATTAAAAAATATGAAATCTGAATGTCTTTAAAATTGCTGCTGAAGGTGACCTTCGTTTGACATTTTGGTAGTCACAGAGTACGTTCAATTTATATTGCAGACCAGTTGTAAATGTAGTCATTAATATGTGATTGTGGTCTGATTTTTTTTTTTTCAATTCTGCCAAATAACGTAGAAATTACCTTCACGGGTTCGTGCTTTTGGGACTAGAACTTTTTAGGCTTGGCTGATTAAAGTGATCATTACTGGTAGGAGAGCATTTTGCAGAGAATCAAAATGATCGGCTTGCATTATACTAGGGAGGAAACCCCTGGTTTCCTTGAACCATATAGTGCCTAGGCTTTTTCTGCAGATTTTTAGACGCATACTCTGGAGACTTTTCTTGGAGAGGAGAAATGTAAGATACTAATACAACTTAGTTCCCTTCAAAATTAGAGGCATTTTTTTTTAAGCTTTCAAATGTAAAAACAGAAGATTGGTTTTGTGCCATTAAAATCTGTAATTAAAAACCAAAACGCCCCAAAGATGGCAGCAGCTGTTAAGATAGGCTGGAGCTGTGCAGAAAACTGGCGTAGGATCATGTTTGTCCAATACTGCTGATGAGTCTCTGAACAACATGCACTGTCGTGGCATTTGATTTTGCCATAGAGTCCCTCAGTTTAACCACACGATGCCTAGTAAATGAATACACCTAATTTGGTACTGTCACAGGGTTTAGTCTTGGTATTCAACCTGTACTACAGTAGAATATTCCAAGTGAGGTGTATGCATGGGGGTGTTCTGGTGAATAGAAGAGTGATCCTGAATTGCTTTTATATTGAAGCTAAGGTGTAATGCCTGTTGCTCTTGACTAGCTTTCTTACTCCAAGTTCTATGAAAACAATGAACCTGGCAACGTGCTGCTTTGTTTAAGGAAATACAGAGCTGCCCCTTCATGCGTGCCTTGTTTTGGGTGATAATAAGTGTTTAATAATAAAACTATTCTCATAGTCTCTTGCTTTCACCGTGTTGGGAAACTTGTCTGTGGCATTTTGTTGTTAAAAGCAGAGTACGGGGCCATCAGCCGAGGCTCCCTGGACCAGCTCTGCATGCTCTTTGTACAACATCCCTTCTTCGGGGCGGCGGAGGGACCCTCGGCGGGGAGTGTGGGCCTGTGCACTGCTGTGTTGGGGTTGTGGCAGGTGCGGCCCCAAGAGGATGCTGTGGGTTTGCAGAGCAGTGTCTCGAGGGCTAGCGACACAGGAGCGGAGATGAGCGAGGTGAGAATTTTACTCTCGGACTGAATTTGGTGTCAGTTTTAGGATGTTGTCTATGCATATATGTCGTAACTGCTTTTTTTTTTTTTCTAGGCGATACACAACCCTTTGCCTATCTGCTGAATGTGACGAAGGTCCATCCAATAAGAGGTCAAGGTAAAGGAGCCTCAGATAGTCACTATGAGGAGGTATGTCAGCATGGGCCTCCACATCTGTGGTTTTTTTGCAGTGGCCGTCTGTCTGCTTAGCGGGGTATAGCAGCACTTCAGCGAGCAGTCTGACAGGTTTTATAGGTCTTCAGCTTGCCTTGAGAGGAATCCCTAAGTATTTGAGAGCTCAGCAATTGAGCATTTACCTATTCTATTTGCAGGGGTGGTCTCGGTAGCAGCTGGAAAGAGAGGAGCCTTCCAGACGAGTAAGGGAGATAGAGAGGCGGAGCACGGGTCCACTGAATTTTCAGAAAGGCCACGTCACTTTCTCTCTGTGTGTTTCAGGTATGCCACACTACAATAGCCGTGGCTGGAGCCGGTAGCGTGAGAACCTCAGTGCACTTAGGACAGGGTGAGTAGGGGGATTGTTGTGTTTGGCAATATCATCCATTTGTCGACTTGTTGGCTTGGGTGCACATCAGAATCGCATCTCTGAAGCGTCGGCTCAGATCTCTTTAACCGCCTTCTTCCAGGCTGTATTTGCAGCTGTTGTCTGCAGCTATCCATTGTTAGGGACTGGGACTTTAAGAATATAAGGATATTGAGAACATCCTGAATGGAGCATTATCTCATGTCCATCTTTTACAATTTTGACAGGCTATTCTTGTAAGGACTCATTCCATTAGCATCTTTTCTCAGTGTACGGAGGCCTCGCAGTTCAGTCGCTGTCGACTTGTAGCAGTGTAGGCTGCAGTTGGAGTTAAGGTCCTGTTCCTCACTTGACACAAGATGTCCAGAGCTGTTCAGTTTTCCTGGAATATTTCGGTGACTTTTGTAATAATTGTATTTCAGATGCAGGCGGAAACGATCCCTGAGGAAGTTCAATACATCAGGTGAGCTGGCCTGAAGGCCAGCCCTGGGGCCTGTGCAGGGCAGGCCGCTGCCCCTCGGCCCCGGAGCGCAAGGGCGTGTGGAGATGTGGAGGGAATGGACTGGCCGGGCTTTGGCAATCTGGCCCCTCGAAAGACTAAGTGACCTCTTCCAACAGGGGAAGACTGAAGCAAGCGGTGCCAGAAAGAACTGGAGTTTCTGGAGAATAAAACCTGGGAGTGTGCCCCTGGAAATCCCCCTGGGTGGTCACCGGTCTGACTTCCACAGACTGATTGCCTTGGCCAGGAGCATCCCGGCAGTCCTGCCATAAGTGCGTATGCCTGGAGTTTTAATTTCCGTTTAATGCTGGCAAAGCCCCTCTGGGTGAGCCCCAGTGCCTGGCATGAGCAGAGCGGGCTTCCAGGGCACTCATTGCAGGCGTTGTGTTTAAGGGAAGAGCAGGGGAGCCTTTCTCTGGCCCAGAGGAGCTGCAGTGTTCTTCCTCTCTGGAAGAATAAGAAAAAAAAAAATTAAAACCAAACGAGAAAGAAAAGAAAATGAAAAATAAAGATAATAAAAAATAAACGAAATAAAGAAGGAAATATAAAATAAAAAAGAAAATTAAAACAATAAAAGCAAGAAAACTAAAAAGGAAATAAAATGAAAAGTGAAATAAAAGAAAAAAAAAAAAAACCTTGAGCACCCCGTATACACCCCTCTGCCCTCCAAACGGTAAATTGGGGGTCACTCCTAAAATGTGAGAAGGGGACCCCAAAACGTGGGTGAGGGAACCCCAGGGACCCGAAAAAGTGGAGGGGGAGCCCCGAAATGTCAGGGAGGGGCCTCAGAATGGGTGGGGGCCCGAAAAAGTGGGTGAGGTGTGCGCAGTAAGAGGAAAGCCAGCAGGTCAGACGGCGGGCGCATGCGCACTCATCAGCAAGAGGCCCGCGATCATGTGGTAATTCGAGGGGGCCAGGAGAGGAAACGACGCATGCGCAGTGGCTCTTGTGCTGCTGCAGCGCTCCCCGCTCAACTTAAGGCCCGGCTCCGGCGGCACGGCAGGACTTGTGGTCTCCCGTCTCTCCCGGGGTGTGTGTGGTGGGAATAACATGAAGATTTTTGAGGCGAAAGCGCGCAAATTAGTGAGGGGCGTTCTCCGGGTAAACTCGGTCACCGGAAGTGAGAGCGACCGGACTGTTTTCGACGGTTTGGAGGGGAATCACAGAGCGATTTGGTTTGAAGGGGACCTTCAAAGGCCACCCTGTCTTCCGTGGGCAGGGACACCTTCCATTCTCATCCCCGATTGGATGCTCCAAGTCCCATCCAGCCTGGCCTGGAACACTTCCAGGAATGGGCTCAGCTTCCCTGTGCACTGTGCTCTAATATCTCTCCACTGTCATCATGAAAAATTTTGTCAGCACGTTTTGTTCGAGGATGGTAAGCAGGACCTGGGTGAAAATGACATTCTGTTAGGTGCAGAGGGAAATAATTATCCTTTGAAGTTAAATGTATTCAGATTTGCACGAGTCTTGTCTGCCTTATGTTTGAATTGCTTTCTATTGTAGGCAGTGGTTTTAAATTAAACTTTTATTTTGGGTCTCCCCCCCCAGTATCTTGTCCAAGACCAAGCTACCTTTCCTCGTGGGAATGGACTGGCCGGGCTTTGGCAATCTGGCCCCTCGAAAGTCTTAAGTGACCTCTTCCAACAGGGGGAGACTGAAGCTTCCTGCTGACTGTGTAAACTGGAAAGAAATGATACAGGTGAATAACATGAATTTAGCATCACAGCCAGGTACAGAATATGTATCATTACAGATGTTCTTTTTGGTTATTCCCCAGTGTGGATCCAGCTACTTCACTGAAGCTGTAAAGGAAGAACGGCACGTGAATAGCAGAAAATGAGTTAGAAATACTGATTAATGGCAATTTCCTAGGAAGGCAAGGGGCTTAAGCATGCTGAAGGCCCTTCTACCTAAAGCTGCCTGTGTTCACCACACCAAAGTCCCACCCCAACCCAAGTGGTGGCCTGTGAGTGCCAAGTCTCAGGAAATTATTTTCCTTTGGTTTTTGTTTTACTGCAAAAGCTAGACCTGAATGAATATACTCCCATCACCTGTCTGTGCCAGCACAGACTGTGATATTCTGTGACTCTGAATTGACAGGTAGAAGGTCCAAGGGCTGAAGGAACGTGGTGTAGTGACTGGGCTCTCTACCCCATCTTGGCTCTGTATTTGCTCGGGATTTGTAGGTTCCGCATCCTAAATAGTTGCCTCACTTCTCCAGGGTTACTAAAGGCTATCCGAGGCATGTCTCCTTGCTGCCTCTGAGTGTGCAGACCGGCTCCTCAGGCGAAAGAAAGGCCCTCCGGTTGCTCCTTCCAGCTCTACCCCTGTCCCTGGCCGCTGCTGCCATTCCTGGGTGCAGCTGCCTATCCCCGCCGCGCAGCTGAGCGCTGCGGGCCCGCCCCCGCCTCACCGGGTTGGAGCAGGTTCACGGTGTACTGCGTGTAGAGCCTCCGGTGCCGCATCTCCTTGTGCACCCGCTCGCTCAGGAGCCGGTCCAGCTGCACCGCGTCCGGCCGCTCCCGCTGCCCGCCGCGGGCGGCCATGGCCGCGCCGGCCCCGCGTCCCGCTGCCTGGCAACGCCTCACGTGGGGCCCGCGGGGCCGCCCATTGGCCGGCTCGCCTTCCCGCCTCCCATTGGTCGCCCGGGGCCACTAACGGGCTTCGCTCCGTCCTCGGGTACAAGGGGCGAGCCCGAGGCTCTCCTCCCCTGCTCGGCGGCAGGGCCGGCTCCCCACGGCTTGGCGCACAGAGCTTGCTCCCTCTTCTGGGACGTTCCCCCTTTGTGTCCTTGTCCCGTCGGTGTGAGTGAGCGAGCGAGCGAGCTGGTCCCTCCTGTAGCCCCCGCAGAGATGTAGGCAGCGTAGCTTAGACTTCCCAGGAGGGAAAGAGGGGCTCTGTGTGCCAACCCGTGGGGAGCCAGCCCCGCCGCCGAGCAGGGGAGGAGAGCCTCGGGCTCGCCCCCTGTTCCCGAGGACGGAGCGAAGCCCATTAGTGGCGCCGCGGGGCTGCCCGTCCTGCTGGCGATGTGCCAGCGTGGGCCCCCCCCCGTCCTCGGGGCTGGGGCCCTGTCCCCGCCGGCCTTAGGCCGCGAGGCCGTTGTTGGGAGTGCCGGGCCTCGGGGGGGCGGCCCCCTAAGTGGGGCTTTGTGCGTCCCCCCTGCTCGGCGGGCGGTTGGAGGGACCCCCTGTAATCAGGCGGGCGTCCCGCGGGGTCCCCGGCCTCTCACGGGCGTGGGGCTGGGCGTGTGCCCTCCCTGCCCTCGGGGCCCAGCTCAGGGCCTTAGGCCACGAGCCCCAGTGCCTGGCCCTTGAGTCAGGTACTTGATGCCGCGGGGGAAGACCGAGCTCCGTGGCTCCCCGGGCGTGGACCCGCCTGTAAGCAGGGTCCGGGTCTGGGAGCCTTTGCGCTCCCTCAGCTGGCAGCCTGTGCGGGGCGACCGCTCCGTTAGCGGGGAGCGGGTCAGGTGCCCCCCGAAGCGGAGAGAAGGAGCCTCCGTAGGCCTTTGGGCCCAGGGCCCCCCTGTAAGTTGGGGTCAGTGCCCTGGTGTCCCAGGCCCTTTGTGGTCCAGGCAGCGGCCGGAGCCCCCTGTAAGCAGGGCGGCAGCCTCTTTGGCCGCTGCTTCGCATGCCCAGCTGCCTTTGCCCAGAGGGCCCGGCTCCCCGCAGTGGGTGGGACTGCGCCGTGCGTCGCCGTGGTGAGTCCAAGTGAAGCTTGGAGAGTTTTGTGGGGGGAAGTGGGGGGGCCTGTGGATGGGCGGGGAGGGTCTTGGAGATGTGCCTCCGGGGGCGTGGGGTCCGGGTTGCCTTGGTACGGAGGAGCTGGTGTTTCTCGGGCCCACCTGCCTCCTCCCGCCCTGGCAGAAGCCATCGGAGAAGAGAGCGGAGCGGGCTTCCAAGGCACTCCTTGCAGGGGTTGTGTTTAAGGGAAGGGCAGGGGAGCCTTTCTGTGGCCCAGAGGAGCTGCAGTTTTCTTTCTTCCTCTCTGGAGGACTAAAAACTAAAAAAATAAAAAGCAAACGAGAAAGAAAAGAAAAGAGAATGAAAAATAAAGAGCATAAAAAATTAAGGGAATAAAGAAGGAAAGAGAAAATACAAAAGAAAATTAAAAGAAAAAAATTAAAATCGGGCAAACTTAAAAGGCAATAATATAATGACAAGTGAAATGAAAGGGAAAAACAAGCCTTCTTGGGCACCCCAGGGTTTCCTCCCCGCTCCGCCCTCCGCCCCGTAAGTTGGGGGTCACCCCTAAACTGTGAGAAGGGGACCGCAAAAGGTGGGTGGGGGAAGCCTAGGGAGCCGAAAAGGCAGTGGAGGGGGAGCGGCGAAATGTGAGGGAGGAGCCCCGGAAAAGCGGGCGAGGCGCGCGCAGTAAGAAAGCGAAGCCGGGCGGTCGGGCGGCGGGGTTGGGGGGGAAGCCAGGGTGGCGACGCCGGCGCGTGCGCAGTCGTTGGCAAGACGCCGGCGATCACGTGGTAAGTAAGGGCAGCCAGGAGAGGGACCGGCGACGCATGCGCAGTGGCTCTCGTGGCGGTGCAGCGCTCCCTGCTCGAGTTAAGGGCCGGTTCCGGCGGCAGGGCGGGACTCGCGGTCTCCCGTCTCTCCCGGGGTGTGTGTGGGGGGAATAACACGAAGATTTTTTGGGGCGAAAGCGCAGAAATTAGCGAGGAGGGACGCTAATTTGGGTAAACTCGGTCACCGGAAGTAGAGAGCGACAGGAAGTCCTCCAAGGCCCCGGCGCGGAAGTTCGCCAAGCCCACAGTAAAGATGGCGCCGCCAGGACCGGATCGACCACACTAATGATGGCGGCCCCGGCCCGGAAGTTCGCCCCGACGCCACACTCAAGATGGCGCCGCAAGGACCGGAACTTAGCCGAGGCCACACTCAAGATGGCGGCGAGAGGCCCCCGCCCTGGCCTCAGAGAGGCGTCTATCCTGTTGCCTGACCTCCGCCGCGACCCGGACCCCCGCCCCGCGCCCGCAGCGCCGTCTCGCCGCGCCGCTTCCCGCTGTGGGGACAGGGCGGGGCGCTCGGCGGCGCCGGGCGCGGGCGGCAGGTTCGTGGGCGGCGGCAGGCACCGGCGAGGGTAGCCCCCGTCTCGGGGCCGCTGCGCGCCGCCCGCCCGCCACGTTCCGCTCCGCTCCGCTCCGCTCCCGCCCCCGCTCCCGCTCCCGCTCCCGCCGTGCCCTGGAGATGCTGTCGGGGCTGCGCCGCCGCCTTCCCCCCCCCCGGAAGCGACCCACGGCGGCAGATCCGACGGAGATCGTCCCCGGGGTAAGCTGGGCGCGGCGGGTGGGCGCGGCCGCTCTTCTGCCTCTCCCGCGGCCATCGGGGACTGCAGGCCGGGGAAGCGACAGGCAAGTTTCCCGCCTCTGCGGAGAAACTCGCACCTGCGTGCCGCCGCAGGGCCGGGTTCGGATGTGCCCTGGCATTGCACACGCACCACACCCCCCCGCGGGGAGGGTCTGCGCTGCCTCGGGGACCCTGTCTGTGCTGCCGGGAGAGAGAAATCCTTTGGGAAGCTGGGCTGGAAACAGCAACTCTGTGAACTGCTCAGCTTTTCCTAGGCAAGGGCAGGTTTTAGGGAAGAAAGGCCCGGACGCGCGAAAGGCGCCGCGGGTCTCGCCAAGGGGGGGGGGGCGCGCGGCTGCAGCGCCGCGCGCGGCTGCAGTGCCGCTCCCGGCCGTGTCCGCCAGGCGGCGACTGTGAGGCAGGGCCCGGCGCTCGGGGGCGCTCTCGCAAGCGACGCTTGCCCTGGGAAAGCGGCGGGCTTTGGCCACTGCCGGCCTTCCCCCGCAGTGCCCGGGCTGGCCCAGCGCCTGGCAAAACCTCGTAGGGAAAAGGCAAGCAACACCTGCGGTGGTTCTGCCCTTTCTTTAGCCAGGGACTGCAACACAGACAAAATCAAGGGGCTCTTTGACCTGGGCAGGCTCCCAGCATTTTTCAGCCTTCCTTAGCAGGGCATTCTCACCCTCTGAAAAGCTGAAAGGCTTTAACAGCTGGAGACGCGCCTGCAGCTGTGCAGATTAATGTAGTTTCTTTGAGGAAACGAAGGGGAGGTTTTCCTGTTGTGAGCCTAAATACCGAGTCTACTCTGCTTTTTCAATCAGGTGACGAAGCTTATGGAAAAAAAGACCAAAGGCCTCGAGGTGAGCACATTCTACCCAGTTCTGCTTTTCTGGGATCGGTTTGGGAAAATCACGTGAAATTCTAAAAAGCTTCTCTCCGTGTTTTCTAGTTGTTTTTTCAGCCTTGGTCTAAGTTTCATGTAGAAAAGGGCATAGAATTATTAGAACAGACCAACTAGACTTTCTCGGGAGAGATGGAAGAAAAGGCTGCTGATTGCAGTTCTGCTTTTCTTGTCTTCCCTTCGACCGTCATTTTCTCTCCCCTGCTGTTCAAATAGGCAGCAATTAATTGCTCTGCTGAAGAGTTTGCTGTACTAAGTGTCTGTCAAATTGATGCCTTCAACTCAAGATAGCACCTGCTCCTTAGTTACAAAAAGTTCCTCACAGGAAATTTTCAGGCGTGCCCATAAATCTCCTGGCTGTTTGTTTGGGAGAACAGGGTTTTCTCGTCTGTAACAGAATAGTCGTGGCATTTGCTATGGAATGCTGGTGGCAATCTAGTCAGAAGAGGACCCCGTGCTTCACTAATTTTGCCTTTTTGTTGTTTAGGGTGACTTCTTCCCAGGGATGTTATTCTTGACACCCCGGGGCAAATGGAGGTATTCACCTGGTCAGCGTCAGGAGCCATCCTAACTGAGGCCTCGGTGAGTGCTTTTTGTGTGACTGGACAGTGAAGCTGTGTGAATGACCTGGCTAGTGCTCGGTGTACTCCTAATTAAAGTGTCTTTTACTCCGTGTTCCCAGGCTCCCTCCTTCCCTTCGGTCGCCGTGGGTGTGCCGGACGCCTCTGGCAGGGCTAACCCCGTGGCTTTTCTGTCCAACGTGCTGTGCTGTGTGTGCCTGCAGGTAAGAAAAGCTGGGAGCGCAGTCCTTCTGCTTTGCTTGCTGTGTCTCTTGGGTAGTGATTTTGGAGGGGAATCCCAGAGCGATTTGGTT